TCACAGTGAACAAGACCTTATCTCTGGAAAGAGTCCTGTTGAAATAAGTGGGATTAGTCTCTGAGCCAGACACTCTTTAGAGCACTATGAAAATCAATGGGATTATTTGTGGAGTCAAGCATTGCTCAGTGTGAGTAAGAATGGCAGAATCTTGCCCATAAGGATAAGTTGTTTGCATGAGAAAGTGTTGCAGGATCTGGCCCCAAGTTAAGCATGAAGGGCTAGACACAACATGCGTACCAAAGCCTACATCTTTGTACAGTGAAGACTTGATCCACACTCAGAAGGTTAAAGGGCATTTTTCCACTGACATCAAGGGGCTTGGGACTAGGCCCTGCATTCTTGCGTTCAGAACTCACCTCTACTGAGTTATACAATATATCCTGCTTTAGAGCTGGTTCAGCTTCCCAGGACCAAATAATCAGGTAGGAGGGTGTGGGTCCTCTGCCCTTGTCTCCTCTCTAAGAGCATGAGTAATCCTTTTGAAAGTACACGGCAACCTCCGTACTCTGGTTGCCTGTAATTCTGGAGTTCCGGTGGTGCGGACACTGGCAGGGGGAGGAGGAGGTGACTCTACGTCTTCCCCCTCCCTCACAGCTGGGGGAACAGCAGTGCCATGAAGTGCTCTGTCGAAGGCTTCTGTGTACCACTCCCATAGTGGTGGGGGGCACTGAGGGCCAAGTAAACACCCCACCCCCATCTTCACACCCTCTCTGGCCCAGCAAAATTTTTAAGTGGCCAGATAAGAGGTTCAAGCATAGTTCCATTGACTGCAATCATTTTGGGCCCTAGTAATTCTACTTTGTGCCAGTGTCCCAAGCGATTTAAACCCGATGGAGGATTCCTCTAGTTTCAGGTAAGTCAGAAGTTTCCCTGAACGACTTGGGGGAACTGGGATAGTGTAGAATCTGCTCCAGAACTTGAGATGGGGTTGATCCACTTTCCAATGACATTTCAATGGGAGTTGGATCTGGCCCTTAAGAAGGAAACATAATTGTTAGGGCTGGAAAGAGCTCAAATGCTATTTGAGCCTACACCCCCATCCAGGCATAGGAGCAGCTGTGGAAGATGTACCATCTCCCTGATCTGTTAGCTGAGGCAATGCTCCATGTATGGAGCTTCTCCCTCTAGCTCTCTGGGCCACCCAGGATCTCCTTACACTACAATAATCACCTCATGGCCAGTTACGTTGTCGTGAAGGCCTCTGTGCTCATGAAGTAGCATAAAAAATTCTCAACACAGACCAGGATCAGAGCTAATGTTTTGTTTTATCAAGTATAAGAATGCAGCTGCCTAGGAAAACTCCCCAGAATAGCTAGGAATCAGCTGGAAGGTACCAAAGGCTTAGGGTGATCACTTTCCAGAACGATTTCCATCATTCTCTCTCTTTATCTTCTACTTTTCATGCAACTGCTTTGGGTCCTAGATGAGAAAAGCACTTAACTACGTGCTTAACTTCCATGTTGCTGCATCAGGGCATTAATTTTCTTTTTGAGAGACTGTTAAATATTCATGGAAGGCCTATAAGTGCAAATTGCAGCTGAGAGATCTTTGATTCTTAACCTTTTGGTGATTTGATGACATTACGGAGCAGTATATTCCTGTCTCTGCTTACCTGAAGCTCATCTGAATCTATTGAAAGCTGTTTGGCTAAACGGGGGCAAATCACATTTAAATATTTCCAGTCTGCTGAAGTTGATGCAACAACACCCAATATTCCTCAGAAATCTGGCCCTTTCATAGAGATGGCAGCCATCAATACCATTCTTTGCAGACGCGATAGACTGTCATTTGTATTTTCATTATTATTTAATAGTCATATTGGAACAACAGTGCTCAGAGGCCCAAAGCAGCACTGGAGTCCAAAAAAATTCATTGGTGAAACGTGAACAGTGACCACAGGAAGTATCACATATTTAAATCTGAAGAAATCCTAAAATACTTAAACCTAAATCAGTGGGAGAATTTCTGTTGATTTCAATGGCTGGATTAGGCCGCACGTGCATACTGCATTAGCAGCAGCCCATCTGAAGTATGTTGTGCCATGGACAAAATCATCCTCCCTCCCTCCAAAGGCTCCTGGGGAAGGGGAAGAGAATTCATTTTGATTGTTTCACCAGCCGTGCTTCCTAGAGGAAAAGGGGATTAATGCAATGTGTACAAAGTGTATTTATTCCCCTATAGACAGTACTTCAAACCTCAATGTGTGTAATGAAATTGATTGCTGTAAACTATTTTAAGAAGCGCCCACCTCTGCCTCCATGTAGCTGACTGGATGGATGGATGTTCTAGCAGGATGGAAACAAATAACTCTGCTTAAAACTGAGAAAGCCAGTCTGCAAAGAGACACTGATCTGCTAGCCTTAATGTGCTTTATGACAGAGACCAAAAGGGCTAGGGAATTCAGAGTATGCACTTGGCTCCAACTTAATGCTCAGACCCCTTTTATTTGTATTGACAAATATTTCTGATGCTCTCAATGCCTTATTTCTGCTGCATCACTATAGCAGGTTGGACCCCTCTTTGCCAGGCACATAATGCTGACTTCGTTTCTGCCTTCAGAATACACAACAGGCCTGATTCTTCTTTGGCCTCCTCCTTGTGATGAAGTACCCCAGTGCAAAGTGGGCCACCTGTCGTGCATTGGCTGGCTCTTGTTAGAGGAATTTGGGCATAACTCCACCTGTGACTGTTTAGCTGCCTTCCAGCTGATGCTATGAGATAGGGATCCAGTGATAGCTTGAAGATTATGCAAAGCTAGATCCACAAAGGTGACATAGGCATTGCAGTGTCTTACTCTTGGGCATGCTGGTAGAATCCACAAGCCCCCAGTTAGGTGCCTGAGAGAGGGATTCACAGAAGCCAGCAAGCTGAGCAGGGAAAGTGCGAGGGAGGGCAAAGCTCGGGTTGCCCCTGAAATGCAGTAAGACCCCCAACTTTACTCAGTATTCATAGCTGTGACCCCCTCCCTTGGATCTAGGCACCAAAATGAAACCACTTAGGAAAGGAGAAAGACCATCCCACCCAGTTATGCCCACTGGCAGTTCAGTCTCATGGAACATGGGAGATCCCTATTCTGACTGGCTGGGATCAGGGACCTTGAACCCATAGCCCAGGTGAGTGTCTTGTCAGGCTGTTGTGTTTTGTGTGGTGGGAGTGCCTCAAGCTCTGCCTTGCAGCTGTGCCGCTGCATATAAATACTTGCCTTCTCATTCCCTAGCCTAGAGTTATAAATGGCTTTATCTCTGATTAGAGCACACTGCTGAGACATGGTTCGAAGCCTGCTTGAAGCTATGTCAATGGCCACACAAGGCAGGGGAGTATTAGTGCCAGGATTTCTGAGTGCCTCACCCTATCAACAGTTTCTATACTCCCCCGCTCCCAGAAACTTTAAGTGTACTATGGAAAAGAAAATGCCATGAACTGATAGACAGATGACCTCTAGCTATGCCTCACAAGCAAAGTACAGTACTCTAGCTCCATACTAAATAAGCAATAGATTCCTTTACCCCACTCTTCACAACAAGCACGCAGGAGGAGTAATTGTCCAATGTTTGACACTAATTTGCACTCATATAAGATGTTTGGAATCCTTTTCGCAGCACATGGTTAAACATATGCAGAGCCAGTCCCCCTGCAGACAAGTCATGTGACCCCCTGCTACATGACTGGCATCCTATTTACATTTTTGGAACAATTGTGACGCATTTCATTTTCCTTTGCTTCTTTCCCAGCACCTCTAATCACCTTGCTCTTACATTTTGCAGTCATGCCTCACATCTCTGGGTGAATCTAGGGATATCCATCTTGAAGAGCGATAGCTTAACGTTTGCCAACATTTCAGTTTTGTGGCTGCTACTGTCCTCATTAAACAGAGGGTCAATAGCTATCACAAAGTTTACGCATGCAGGTGGAATACCTCTGTAGTGCACGCAACTAATTTCTGAACAAGGCGCGGTCTCCTAAGAGATGCCAAATCCTTGCAACTCCTATTAAATTGTCACTTCTGTAGGAGTTTTAGGGCTCAGGCCCTAAACTGTGTGTTTTATTGTGCTGTCCTCATAATCGTATTCCCTAGCTGAGTTGAAAACTTAGGGAACCCTTTAATTGTGACGGAAAAGTCACAGTAATATTTTCTGTGGGCAAAACTGGGCCCATTAATTCTCATCACCACACAAACCCAATCTGCATTCACTCTACAAGTGAAACCTTTCCTTCCCTTCCAAGCAGCTCTTGGTGTTTCTTTTTTTAACCTACTCGACATTTCTACATGTCTTGTGGAACTGCTGTGGGGTAGAGAAAGTGGTTTAGGTGTCTCCTACCAAAGAAAATTGATATCTTTTACGAGGCTAGGAGTAGCATGGGTTAGAAAACCATTTTGGTTTTTAAAATTGACTTCATACCCGGGGGAGTGGGGGGAGAAGGAGGGAAGGAAGTTCTTTAATTCAAAATGGCATTGTGATGCGCCATGGGAGTTGGAGTCGGGAAGCGTTATGTTCCTATTCTCCTCTATAGGCTCGGCTCTTTAGCCAGACTACTTCCCTTGAGGGGAGACAGTACACAACAGAAATCCCTGGATATGATGCACAATGGGAGAAGTAGTCCTGCCAGATAGTCCATAGAGCGAATTGAAGCATAAAGCACTTGAACAAATTCCATGAGTTGTTGAAAATCAAAACCCCTCCAGTTTTAGGCGTTTGTTTTTTTGATGACATATTGATATTTTCCATTGAAAGCAGACATTTCTTTTACAATTTTGTTCAGTCAAAAACTCAAATTTCCAGCAAAAGAGTGCATCGATGGGAAACATTTCCACTTGCTCTAGTGGGCAGTATTTTCGTCATCTTTCGCACCTGTGCTTGACATACCATTGGGTTGTCTGGCAGGAGTGCAGTCTAAGGGCCTATTAAAGTCCCACCCTTTGCTTGACTGATAATCAAGGGATACAATAATCCTTCCAGATCTGATGGACACTATAATCATTGGCAGTTTATCTTCCACATTGCCACTGAGCAGCTGGCATGAGTTGAGTGGTCCTCATTGTAGAACCCACAGATTCCTCTCACCAATGGATTACAATAACACTTGCTTCACGGTATGAACTTTAGTGGGGATTTATTCCACAGCTACTCCAAAGACAGGCATTTTTCTTGGTTATAACAAGAGAATCCAATTTTGTGACAATAGAGCCAAGTCATGCGTATCTCTACTGTATCTTTGTAACCCATGGTTACAGCACTCAATCTAGTAGCAGTGTACTAACAGAAAAAAAAAAACCCACAGCTTCCAGAATTCCTGGACTGTTTGTTTTTACTATTATTATTAAACTATTTCAATCTTCTTTGCTTATAACAAACCAAACAAATTCTAGGTGCCAGTCTATAGAACAAGAGCCAAAGTACTAAGCATCGAGAAAGAGAAAAGGCCATATACTCTCCTCTGTAACACTCACTTTTCCAACATGATCAGAAGCCCAGTCGTTTTAGCATTGCATGGCCGTTTCTTTTAGCCTGCAAGGACTGGCACTTGGTCCATTTGCTGTAAGTGCACAGATGTTATGCTGTCATTTAAGCAATAATAATAACTTGACTCAAACAAACTGCCTTGGTAAGAATTCATGTTTGCTTTTTTTTTTTTTTTTTTTTTTTTTAGGTGAAAGAAGCTTCCCGTGAACCACAGATGGTGTTTACTGCTCGCCATGCGACTATCACTTTCCAGACAGATGGGGAAACATGGAGGGAACAGAAAGAGAAAAAAGCAGCTTTGATGGTTGGCATTTTAATTGGGGTTTTTGTACTTTGCTGGATCCCTTTCTTTATCACCGAATTAATAAGCCCCCTCTGTTCCTGCAACATTCCACCCGTCTGGAAAAGCATCTTTCTCTGGCTTGGGTACTCCAATTCTTTCTTTAATCCTCTTATTTATACGGCATTTAACAAAAATTACAACAGCGCCTTCAAGAACCTTTTTGTAAGACAAAGATAAAAGAGGGGAAAGAAGGATGGTTGCGTTTCCATGTAATACACTGACAGAAATTGGTGCTTGTGAAATGTCTGATTGTAAAGAGTAGCTGCTATCTCAAGGGATTTTGCAACAGTGAAGAATACTCAATACCTGTATGTGGGACATAAACCTATTTACCCTGTACAGTTTTCCATTGAAATGCATGTACGCTGCAGCTGGGCTGTACCGAAGAAAGACCCTGATAGATGAATAAAGGGGTGAATGCTTCCCTTCTCCAGGATTTGAATTGTTATGCTAAATTCTGGAAAAACAGATTAAGGTCCTTTAGCATCCTCCTAATCTGATCTAACCAGACTAACCCTATCCAGCCAACTCTTGCTGCCATGAAGTAGAATCTTAACTAGCACAGGCATGAATGAAAAACCTGCCAGTTAAGCAATAGCTCTGATTGACTGGTGCATGGGCCAGATACTAGTTTAATTTTAGGAATGTCT